GCAACATCTTCGTTAGCTGTTTGGCCCCTTCATGCAGTTGCTTTTACGGCTTTGTCATTAATCAAATGGAATTGAAATGCGCCGCGTGTACATCACACGCCGTTGTTGTAGCTCTCAATGTTGCTATTGCTGATGCTATTGGTGTTGCTGTTGCTGTTGTTGTGTTGTAGCCGTTACCGCCGAGCAGCGCCCATTTGGAGTTTGCCATTTTTGCGCATTTTAATCATGCCCGTCTCGCCTGTAGTTATTTGGCGTTTTTTTATACGCCTGACTATGCGAAAGAGATCTGCGCCAGCTGATAAAAGCAATGGCATTGCCTTTGCCGGTTGTTGCCTGTTGCTTGTTGCTGCTAACTGTTGCCGGTTGCCTCTGCACTCAGCAAAATAGGTGCAAAAAAGAATCATGATTTTTGAAATATTTTTGTGATCCAAAAACCTAAATATAAACATTTTTCAAAACCTTAGGACAAAGCAAAATTGTATTTCAAAATTAGTTTTTTAAAGGATTTAAAAAAAAGATTAAATTTCTAAACAGAATTTAAAGAAAAGGTTTATAAAAAGCAAAACATGTGCTATAGAAGTGCTTAAATTCAAATGAATATTAATATTTTAGAAAAGTTTCTAATTCTCTAAAACATTCATATTTTCAATTGTATTATTTTAAGAAAAAAGAATTCTTATGTGGAACTTTCGTTATATTTATAGACTTATTATTTTTTTGAGTGTTCCTCTGCCAGCGTTGATGTTTCTAACGCCAACGCAGGCTGCGACCGAAATGATTAATACATCTTGATGCGATTTGGTTTGTAACGCAGGCGCAATAAAAACGCGACTTTTGATTGACAATGGCAGCAAAAAGCTTGAGATGCCGGCCGTTGATTACTTCATTAGGCGGGGTTTAAAAGTTGCTGCGACCGGGAGGACCATTTGATTCAATTATGCATTTGCATGCAATTGAAGCATAAGCCATCCGCGATCCGCATCCCAGCTGCAGTATTTCTTATCAGCCGCCAGTCCGCTGAGCTATTGGTCAATTGGTCAGCAGCAGCAATCGACTACCAACTACTGGCATATCCGGCTGGTTCGCTTTTGGGGGCAGGCTCTCAACTGGTGGGCGATAATTATCTGGCTGAGAAATGATCGACTGCCTTGTGGCCGGCGGTCTGGTCTCACTTGGCTAACGATGACAATTTGCAGTGCAGAAAATTTGCAGCTGCGAGCTCCCGTGCGTTTTTTGATGCGTTTCGTGTGCGTTTTACGAGCGCTCTTCGAATGGCTTTCTTAATTTATGCGTCGGCGAGGAATTTTGCAATTTGAATATGCCGAAGACATTCATATTGTGGAAAATTAACGATTACCTCATATGCCACGCAAAGTTTCGATCCCGAAAAGTATGCAGCAGTGTCAAGTTGAAGCTGCTTTCTTCATCATTAAATATTGGCCGAACATGATTAACCCATTTTCCCTCGCACAATTATCACATTGTGCAGGCACGCACACACTGCGTATACGCAACGCGGAACGCCCCATCGTTTGTCTCAATAAATGTGATTACGAGTCGATCAGACGACGGCCGCTCTCTACTGATGGCTCCATTTTGGCCAATCGAAGTGCAATTTGATTGCGGCGGTACGTGAATAAACTTGGCTCTGGCCGAGGACTTTGGCCAGCAGGTTTTCCCCGCCGTCGCATTGTCTTCCTTGCGCTTTTGGTCTTCTTTTATGAAATCAGGCGAATTATTTTAATTGATTGAGACAACGATAGAGAGGAGGGGGTGCGGGTGCTGGTGGTGCTGCCGCGGCTTAAGTACAACTGGTTTCTATTTTCATGCGCACGCATTTGACGATTGGTAATTGAAACTTGTTAGTGAAGACATTAAAAAATCGTTTAGCGCGGTATTTGGGTTAAAAATGCGTGGAAAATCGTGCAGCCAAAGCGACAAACTTGCTCAAGAAAAAGCGGTCAAAGCAGAAGCAGCTAAACCGTGTGATTTTCATTGATTGTCAGCGGGGTGGGGTGGGGGGGTGGGTGGTGGGATAATGGCAAAGCCATCCAAGTTGAGGAAAATTGTGTAACCGCAATATAAAAATTCCTGCACATAAACTAATCTCAGACAACGGCTGCCTTTTGACTACCGCCATGCTTCTTTATTTTCTTTGCCATTTTCCTCTTGACGCCCGCAACAAAGACGAAGCTTATGGGACGCTAATCATGCCCAGGCCAGACCAAAGAAATTGAGCCGAATATTGCCACATTTTTGCACATATTTGCAAGCCATTTTCCTTTGTCTGCCGCAATTTGCATACTCGAATAAATCACGGCTGCCTCGATACCAAAATGTGTAAATAAATATGCCAAAGAGCGGGCTTAATTAAAAACATTCAAATTATTGAAACGTTTTTATTTATGGCCCATAATCGAGTGCCCCACCAACCAGTCGCCCCGAAACTTAAAACCCATCATGCTATCATGTTTTTTAAATGATGCCGCCTCAGGCTGTTTGCATTGGCCAAAATGCGCTAACAATTTCTACGATTACGATTGCGATTACCATGCAGCATCCATCCCATTGCAATCCCCCCCATCAGTATTCGGATTCGAATTCGCATGCATCTTCATCGTGGCACCGCTGGGAAGATGCATGTGCCCGCCACATGCACATCCACATCCACATCCACAAGATACAGAGATATATCCATGGCGACCACGTCCATGATTGGCTGGCCGCCAGTTATATGAGCACGTCTGGCTGCCTGGATGGCTGGATGGCCAACTTTCTTTCCCGACTCGGTCCCGCATCCAAATCACAATAATCGTGCTCAAATTAGTCAATATTTGAGCGCCAAAATGCTCAAACAAAGGCTTATTATTTTATTTCATATTTTTTGCCCGTTCTGGCGGCGCTTTTCACCGCTGCTGGCCATAAAGTATATATAAAGTAATTTCTGCATTTTAAACATGATTATTAAATAAACTACTAGGCAGATCTTGGTGCGGCTGTTAGTCGGCAGGCAATTGACCACAAATGATTACGCAGCGTTTCGGTTTTGGTGAAATTTTCTTTATATTTTTTGTTGCCTTTTTTGTCCGATGGGGCAGCGATAAAGGCCAGGGGAAATGCCGGGAAACGAGCTCACCTCAAAAGCCTTAAAAATGTTAACTGACCGCTTGCCAAATGGCCTGCACTTGTTGGCAGCCTTTGCTTCCTTTGAGTGGCTTTGGCGATCAGGTGTTGATGCTGCCGACTGACACTGAAACAAAAAAGTAAATCTATTTTAAAAAAGAGGAATATTTCTTAACTTATAGGTTTCTTATTCTAAAACCAGCCCCAAAAATAAGTTTATCAAGATTTTTTTTTAGAAAATATTTTCTAAAACATTATACAGACTAAATTAGCATATTTTGAAACGTTTTTATTTGAGGTTTTTTCATAAATTATTGTCTTATAACCGTTTTTGCATAAGAACACAATTTTCACTGTAATTTAAATTATTCATAAAATATATAAGATGATTTTTTGAGACCTTTCCACTTGTAAATAGTTTTTTGTAAAACAAATCAACCATAAGCTTATTTTTTTAAAGTGTGTGCTGCCGTCTTAACTAATTCCAGATCCCCCCGCCAACTTGATCTCCCCCAGATATTGCACTTTAAAGTTTCTACAGCAGCCGCATCTGAAATATTTTCCAGCAGCGGCATTTTCTCTACGCTCTGCCCTTATCTAAAGTATGCAAGCCAGCTCTACGTACGAGCGAGCCATGCAAATTTGTTAAGTCATTTTTGTTTGTGGTTCTCACGCTGCCAGGCCGTAAAGTCCATTTTTCATACACACTAGAGCCAAGCGACTTGGAGTCGGTTTCGATGTCGGTGTCAGTGGTAGCAGAAAACGGAAAACGGAAAAAAAAGAGTAGAATCAATTTGACAATTTGAACATTTGGCACATTCGCCAGAACACGACTCGGGGGTACGTTAGCGATATGCTAACCGAAATGGCCACAGACTGTCAGTTCGATCACCTTAGGGGTAAGCGCGTTATGGGCTACACGGTAGCGGTGGCCAAAGACACGCTTGTTTATTTATTTTCGTTTTTGCAACTATTCTAAATGCCGGGCACTTGCCGAATCTATGCAAATGAAACAAGCCAAGCCCGCTGAAACAAAAAGTGGTGGTCTGCTGGCCAAATAGATGAAAAAACTGTCGCAGCGACAGGTTGGCAGAATTTGGCATTAGCCAAAGTCCGAGAGATTTACGAGTCGAGCACGCCAAATGTGTTTACACTTTGTCACCCTTCTGTCAGTTTGATTTATTTATTTGCAGATAGCCGGCTAAGAGGCAGAGCCGGCCAAGACTGCCTTAAATTAAAATGCAAGTATGGCCGGAATGCAGGCCCGGGCCATGTAGCTAGAATGAGCCAATGCGAATGCGAAAGCGAATGACTGATTGACTTAAGTGGCCAACTGACAAGTGGCTTTAATCAATTGGTCTGACTTTTAATGCAGGCCTCTCTGCGTGTGTGAGTGAGTTGGAGAAATTGAGAAACCGAAAGCGAAACCCAAAGCGAAATCGAAATCGAAACTGATGAAAACAGGTCATGAGAATTTAATTCACTTAGAAAAAGAGAAGGTCTTGTAAATATAAATTTCATTAATTCATAGAATAAAATCTTATCTATTAAACATCCCTCTTGGCTAGAACACTCTGAAAAGTCAGTCACCTTAGCCACGTTAGCTTCAGAATCTAACTTTATACGACAAGAAAGAATATGTCTGATTTCTGGCCTGAAGAATTCGTGTTTTTGTTGAAAATAACATTTGAGTTTTAATGAATGTTTTCGTTTTTATCTTAAATATGATGAAATTCTGCAAAATTTGTATATACAAGTATTTTTTAGCAGTTGTTATTATAAAATTCTTCAAAATTTTTTTTCAAATAAGTATTTTTTTGCAGTTGTTATTATAAATGTTATAACGACTTCTAATAGCATTTTTCTTTCTTTTTTAGCTTGTACCCTAATCGGTCTTAACCAGTACCTGGTTTTTAAAGGCGCTACTCTGGCGCTTCAGGCTCAGCAAATGATCGGCACCGAGGATATGTCCGCAGCGGCTGGCATGGACATCAGCGAGTCCTTTCGTGCCGAGGATCTCTCGAAGGCGGACTTCTTCGACTTTGTCACTGGTCCCGACATGGGAATCGGCATCGGAGTGGGTGTGGGTGTGGAGGCCCTGGGCGTCAGTCTGCACCAGCAGCAGCAGCACCACCAGAACCACCAGCAGTCGTCGCACAGTCACAACAGCCACAGCAGTCACAGCGGCAGCAGCCACGTGGTGCAAGTGGTGCACCAGCCCATTACTTCGCAGTCCCAGCAGCAGAGCCTCTGCGGTGGTGCGAGAACCAACAGCAGCATGATCCACGACGGCGGGGGCGGTGGTGCTGGCGGCGGGGGCGTGGTGGTGCCCGTGGGCAACCGCAATGGCTCCAGCAGCGGCGGCGATCCCACGTTACAGGGCTATGAGGTAAGCTTCCGAGCAATTATTTCACAGTTTGGGAAATATCGAAATGCCTTATAAAGCATTTTAAAACAAAACTAACGTTAAACAAATATATATATAAGTTTCTAAAACGTTAATTTTGAAGAAAATTAGTCTGTTCCCCTCATTAATAGCGCATTTTAAAATTGATTATAATTTTTTGAAATTTAAATTTAATTTAAAGTCTGAAAAAAAAAGTTTCAAAAAAATCTGTGCCAACAAAAGTCTTACATAAAAATACATACAAACTTAATTAATTTGTTATTTTTATATTAAATTTTGTTTGTTTAATTTATCCAACGGAAACAATTAATTGTTATTACTGAAAATAGCATTTCCACCTTACTTTTTAAATTTTGGTAAACCAAAGAAGTGAATGATCTCAAGTCCTGAACTTCTCAATTTTGATCATTTTATATTTGATACAAAAATATCTCCCAATCTCATATTTTATTTTATATAAAGTATTTCTTTGTATATATATATTTAAAATGTAGGCAAAATCCTTCACTATTTACAACTGTTTTTTATTTTAAATGCACAAATGAACCTTTCAGAAACAAGTTTTTGGGATCATGAATATCAAACTAAAGCACCTGCTCTAAATTATCCTTTTCCATTCTTTTGAATTTCCAGTTCTGGCACCAGGACAAGGACGGCAGCCGCCTCGACTCCAACTCGATTTTCGAGGACCTCGATCGCTACTGCTGGCAACAGCAGCCGGTCACAGCCAGCGCCAGTAATGGTGGATCCACCAGCACCAACCAGCCCAGTCCCACCTCGCCGCAGACCCATCTGCAACAGCAGCAGCAACATCAGCAGCAGCAACACCAGCAACATCAGCAGCAGCAACATCAGCAGTTGCAACAGCAACATCAACCGAATGCGAGCAGCTCCTCGGCTGTTTCGAGTGGGGCGGGAAGCAGCAGCGACACGATCAGCAGCCTGGACACCACCGACGGCCAGATCTACACCCTGACAGTATTAAACGGAGGCGAGCCCTGGCTGAAGCGCTCGGAAGCGGAGCAGCTGCCCACCTCGCTGGATCTGGACAGTCTGCTTGGCAGTTTTCCGGGCTACATCAAGTCGGAGTATCCGTACGACGACAGTGGCTTCAGTACGGATGGCAAGGACGTGATCGGCAATGGCACGGATGGTCTCAGCAGTATTTCCCAGGCCCAGAACCAGGGACAGCAGGCGCAGCAGACGCTGCCCTCGCTGGTCACGGCCATCTCCCTGGCGGGTGGCAATGACCTGGGCCAGCAGTTGGCCCAGTTCCAGAACAACAACAACGACTGGCACATGGCGGACCACAATGCGGAAACGGAGCAGAGTACGGCGGAGTCGTTGCTGCGGAGTGCCCTTCAGGGCAAGGGCTACACCAAGGGTTTGCACATGCAGAACGGACTGACCATGCCGGTGGTCAAGGATGAGGACATGCGGCGGCTACTCTTTGCAGATGAGGCTGCTGCTCTGGGTTTTGCAGACTCCACTTTGAGTGCCGCCCAGATGTTTGACGAGCCGCAGGGCATTCACCTCAGCTCCCAACAGCAGCAGCAACAGCAACAGCAGCAGCAACATAATGGCAATGCCAACATACTGGTGGATGACATGTTCCTTTCGCTTGAGAATGCCTTCAGCGATGATTTCGAGAAGATCAAGCGCATAGCCAACGAGGTGCAGCAGTTTTGCAGTGCCGGTTCCGCCGGGACCCCCACTCCCGGAGACTATGGACCAGCCGGCGATGTACTCATGCAAATCTCACCCAGTCCGACGGTCACGTCGGCGGGACAACTGCAGCCACCGCAGCCACTGAAGCCGGAGGTTAGTACCTCCACTTCGCCCCCAGCGCCGGTGGTCGTGTCCGCCGTGGCCAGCAGTCATGTCCGATCCGCAGGGGGCGGCGGGGTGACCAAGCCCAAGAAGGCCTACAAGCGCAGCAGCAGCAGCAACAACAACAATCCCAATTTGGCCAACAACAACCAGAGCAGTGGGGGAAATCCCCTGATCGCCGGCAGTGGGAGTGGCAGCTCCTCGTCGAGCGGCAGTGCCAGCAGCAGCAGCAACAGTCCACCGGCCAATTCCGGAGGCAGTTCCTCCTCCTCCTCGGCGGGAAGTGCCCAGAGAAAGGAGCGCTCCCTGCACTACTGCTCCATCTGCTCGAAGGGATTCAAGGACAAGTACTCGGTGAATGTGCACATACGCACGCACACGGGTGAGAAACCCTTCGCCTGCTCACTTTGTGGCAAGAGTTTCCGGCAAAAGGCCCATTTGGCCAAACACTACCAGACGCACATGACCCAGAAGAACAATGGAAACCTGATCAAGGGTGGTTCGGGCAAGCACCCGCGATCCAGTGGCTCCTCTGCGGGAACTGCCAGTGCTGCCTCCCTAAATCAGCGACAACTAAGTGGAGGAGTGGTGCCGCCTTCACTGCCCGTCATGATCAGCAATCCCAATACACCACCTGGAGGAGTACTGCCACCTGCCAATGGATTGCTCACCAATCGGTAGTAGCCAGCCGTAGCGGGGATTCACCCGGCTAAACTATTTCTTGTTCCTTACTCAAAAAATACGCACTCAAAACAGAAAACAGAAAAAAAAAACAAAAAACACAAAATGAAAATTAAAAGTAGAGAAACTATAACTACTCTAAATACCTTAATACTCGTACTCCCAACTCGAATTTACGTCATTGATGAATTCCTATTTCAGCTTTCTGTGCAATTCCTATATGCCCAAACACACACAGACAGACCCACACTCGAAGCACTTCCAAATACAATACTCAACTAAATGTACATTTACTCGAAACAAATTAAATTTAAATGTGCCAAATTTTGAAGATTTTTATAACTAAAGTTAAACTAAAATAAACATATATGCTAGGCGTGTAGAAATAGAAGTGTAACGAAGCTATCGAAGCAATTCCACGAGTGGTGATATCAAAATGAGGCCAAACGCTTCCTTGCTAAATGATATAAACAATTTTTTTAAAGCCCCAACTAGAATATCTTTAAAATCGTATATAGTAGAAGATTGTTTTTAATTAACACTGATTTTTATTCTGAGTCTCCTAATCACCCGCAATCCTTCAGAGTCTTAAACTTTGCGTGTTTCCTGTAAATTGAAAGTATTTGTTTTCTTAGTTGCTCTGCCCAAATTAGCATAAATTTGTTTGCTATTTTTAATGTATATAGTATATACGCGTAAATAAAGTTAGTTCTTGCATACCTAATAATAAAGCCAACAAGGGGAATGCCAAATATTCGAGGGAGGAACACTGACCTGAGGCGCTAAATTCGAAACGCATCCGCCGGAGCTCATCCTAAAGCAAATTCACGCTCCTTTCTCCTTCAAGGATCTCTTTGATCCCTTGGGCCGAGTGTTAGCCAACTTCGAATGCATTCAAGGGGGGGCACAAACATTACTTTATCAACAATCAACTATGTTTACACACCATACGTTCAGCAACTCAACTTGCACTTGCCATTATTTTTGTATTTGATAAACACACGGCGCATAACTAAGGCGAATTCCCTATGATTAAAGATAACACCACATTCCCCCAACTAGTTGTATGGCCTAAGCTAAGCTATTTGATAAATCAGCCGTAGTTAGTGGTTAATTAAACTGCCAATTATTTTGTGATAGTTTTTAATGGACAATAGTTTAGATTACGCAAAAATATCTTCAACGGTGTTTGGGTTATGTAACGTTTTAACGATTTGTTATAAACTGTGTACACTTTGCAATACGAGTATTTTCTGCTAATTTATTGAACTTAATAGTTTATGTACATAGAGAACGATCCTTGTTTATATCCAAGCCTAGGCTAAGCCACACATCGAAATCTTAGTTGAATCTTTGTTAGTTATTATTTATGCACACACACACACACGCTCACACAAAGCAGCAAGATAAAACACACACACACACATCCATCTGCGGTTAAGTTTTGCATTAATTTTTTTAGTATTGGAAGCATTAAAAATAAAGAAATCTAAAACGTTTTATTGACAATTAAGATGCGCCCCGTGTCTGCTGTTTGGGTCCGTCGTGGGTTAATTAGTTTTAGCTCGTTACGGGGATGGCAGATGGGTCAGGCCGAGGTCTGAAATAATTTTCTCCAATAAAGGAGCTGAGCGCACATGAAAGCGCATGCAGCTGCGCATGTCAACAACGGATTGCAACTGCAGCAGCACCGCAGCAACAGCATCTGCAGCAGCATCAGCAGCAGCATCAGCAGGCAGGCGGCACTTGTCAGTCAAAATCAAAGTACCCGGCCCCAGACTGCTGGCATCGTTTGGCGGGGGGCAACTAATGCGTGCCATCAGCGCAGATTAGAGAAAATTTTTCACTTCACGATCGGTGAAACACGACTTATGCACTAAGAAACAAGTATGTTTATTTTTCAGATTTTACTTCGTACTTTAGCATTTCCCAAGACGTTTGCATCTATCAGATCCTTTTTGATATATCCTTAAAACTTATTAGATCTAAGAAATATTTTATAATTTAAATAATTATTTGCTTTCACTTACGTACTTTTGAAAAATAATGTCGAAAAATATATTTCATGAAGTAACCAGCATAAAGATTTAATTTGATTTTGATTAGACAGATACTTAGAATTAAATTTTCCGATTTTTGGTTATTAAACTTTTGGTAATGGATATGGGTTTTCATTCTCTTGATATATATTTTAAAATAATGGAACTCAAACGGTATGTTGCAGATATGCATTACATTCCATAGGATTCGAAACTGAAATTGATTTCCACCACATTAAAAAAAACTTACACATTTGTAAAACTGAATATCAATAACATCACTTTTTGGTAGGAATTTAAGAAGCAGACTTCTTTTCTATTGGAAATTTTTCTCTGTGTACCGCTGATGGTGATGCCTCTACTGCCGGCCGCGTCGTTTGAGATCGAAACATGTCGATTAGGGAATTTCAAGAGGCGCCAGTTGCCGTCGCACAGGTGGCTAACATCAGCGCACCTTTGGGGGAGCTCAAACACTGGGTATTCGATGTTCAGTGTTCAGCGTTCAATGTTCAGTGTTCAGCTGCCACTGCGGCAAGCACGCGTCTTAATTGCTTTTGATGTTGAGCTTTGAACCGGCGAGCTGCTGTGCAAATATTTGCACAATGGAAATCGGGAACATCCGATCCTCGAGTGGGGTAAACGAAACGAAAGGAAAGTCATATTTGATGGCCACACAAATAACCATAAAGCAGCTGGCACTGTCAACCTGCAGTGACTGAAGTCATTAAAAGTGCAGGCACCCTACGTTTAGGGAGCTAACCCTTTACAACTAACAAAAATCGATTTGCCTTAGCAGTCTTTTAGTATTATTTTACGGTCATAAAGACGATGGTCTCATAGTTTTTAACTAGCCATTGTCTAGATTTTGCCGCATTGCATCAGAGCTGCAAAGCAATCGTTTTTACATATTTACATATTTTGGTTTCGAAATTTTAAAGGTCGTGAGAAAATAGGTTTAGTTTTAAGTCTGTAGCTTAGGATTTCCAGCAGCCAAACCAGGGTGGAGAACACCACCATGAAGCCAAAACCGTACCATACGTACTGCAAATCCTGGATCTGCATTGCCCTGAACCCGCGACGAGGACTCAAGTCCACAAAGTGCATCTCGCCCGCATCAATGAGTTCCGAAAAACCCATGGCCATCCAGTGAAAAGTCAGTCCTGTTTCGGCCAACTCCATAATCAACTTGAGCACCGGTTCCATAAACACCGAGTTCTCGTGCAGGGGAAATCCGAAGGGTACGTTGTTGAAAAAGCAAAAGTCATCTCGTTTTCGGAAAAGGGGTCGCGAAAAGACCTTTTGCTGCTCGTTAATCAACACCCATCGGTTGGTGGCTATCATATAGCCATACCGAGTGTCCAGCGTGTCACGTATTGCGAGATATCGGCTAAACTGCGGTTCGATCAGGAACATAGGTTCGTATTTGCGAAACTCCAGAAGTCGTCCAAATAGCTCCGCGTATTCCGGTTTCCAAGCCAACACCTTTAGTCTAGAGGCCAGAATATCATCGTAAGTTCTTAAAGCGGGCTGCTTGGGGGCGCTGGTCACGTAACTGGAGAAGTAGGAGTTATACCAGGCTGTGATCAGGATGCCTAGAACGCAGATCTCCAGATATATACCACGCACTAGGGTTGGTGCTCGGAAAACCTCCACAAAGGATTGCCCTAGCACGCCCCTCAAGCAACTGTCGTGGAGCAGGTACTCACTAATGTTAGTTGGATAGCCATGGAGCCGCAAAGTGCTGGCCAAAAGGCATGATATTATCACAAGAGTTGCCAAGGTAAGCAAAAAAGCGGCCAGCTCAAAAACCTTTGTATAAAATTCTAGAGGTGGAACATCGGCCTCAACCGGCAACATCACACACCAATTCAGCTGTTCATAAGGGTAACTAAAACCATATGGAGGAATTGTTGGGTAAGTCAGGGACATCGATATCTCCACGGTCTCGTTTCGCACCGCGGCAACCGTTTCAATCGAGGGAGCAAAATCCAGAGGATTTTTGGCCTGCAGTGGCTGGATAAATCTAACGTTGTATTTCTGCTGAAAAGCGGTCATGAAATGACCCACGGTTCCCAAATAGACCACTTGACCTTTCTTGTTGCGATAAGCAATGATTCGGGGAGATGTTCCTCCAATAATCACGGGCATTTCGTAGCCATGGAAGTCTCTCAGGCGATCGGGAAAAATGCCTAAGGTTTGTATAGTCGGTTCGTAGAGACGCTCTTCTATTTGTAGAATAGGAAAATGCGAGTAGCTGTAGAAGGTTGATGTTGTCTGCAATTAAAACAAATTAAAGTTCTGTTTAAGTTGGCAAACATATAACAAAGAATGAGTGTTCTAAATAAAACTTTCTCAAAATAAAGAGCGCATTTTTCTGTCTTACATTTTTTACACTCACTTCATAATCCTCGAATAGAACGATAACATTTAATAGCTTTTTTTGCCAGCATTCCCTAAATAATTCGTTAAGTAATTCAGTTGATGCCTCCGTTTGTATGAGAAAAATCACTCTAGAAGTGGTCATGTGCCTGAGATTTGCCACTAGGGCTTTGAGTAGACTTCTGTGCTCCTCCAGATTTCCACTACTTATAAGCACTATGGACACCAGACTTCTGCTGATTTTGTTGTGCAAAAAGTAGCTCATTTTCTCGTCCAGTTGAAGGACAGGCACTTCTAATCTTTCCATGATTTCCTTTGCCAACGCACTGCCATTCCATTCCGGCAGACTGAAGTTCCTATTCTTCATAACCAGCACGTACTCAAAATCGGACTCCAGCTTTATATTACCCAGTAATTCAATTACCGTGGCGGCCCTGACCAGGCTAAGCAGGCAAAGGCCGCTCAGGATCCACATTGGGCAATGGCCATCCATCACGATGGTTGAGGGACAACTGCATGACACTGATTGATGCCGCTGCACATTTAAAGGGTTGCTAATGAATCCGCCGACGACGTGGCTAATGGTTAATTCCAATTAGCAGCACATGCTAACAAGTTCCGGGCGAAAAAAGAACACCAAAAAACATTTCCCCGGGGCTTACAGAAAAACAACTGCAATAGACTCAATCAGAGTTTGGTTGGCTAATGAACACCACGCTTCATTTGTTTCATAATTACAATAATAACTATAGGATTTAGTTTTAGTCCTCAAATTAAAACAAATCAATTTTGTAAGAGAAAAAGAATTTATTTTTAAGCAAAAGCTGTTTTTTTTTAAATAAATACATTATATTATTAGTATGCGGTAGAAAAAGCCTCTGATTTTTTGCCACATCGTAAGCCGCCAGAAACAAATCAACTCAAGTATAAAAAACAACGTGGCCAGGCCAAGCATCAATCCTGCCATGCACCAAATCTGCGCCAGGTCCCCTACTTTCATAGCCCGAAATTCCGTTGGCTTACTTCGATCTGCGAGCTTCAATTGGTCGGCCTTGATCATTTCCGTTAGGGCCATGTCGCGCCAGTATAGGAGAAGACCACTTTCAGTCACGTCCAGAATGAGGCGATCCAGGGGTTCCCGAAATATCGAGTTACTTGCGATGGGAAACACAATGGGAACCGTGTGGAAAACGCAGAGATCGTCGCGTAGACTGAACAAAGGGGAATTGAATACCTTTTGCTGCTCCTTCACTAGTGACCACTTCTCCAGAGGCATCATGTAGCCGTATCTGGTGTCGAAGGAGTCCCGCAACTGCAGGAACTCCTTGTAGTCCGGTTGCAACTGAAAGATAGACAAGTACTTATCCATGATGTGCGAGTAGGATCGAAGCGTTTCGTATTCCGGTGTCCAGATCACCACCTTCACATTGGACTGCTCTATACTCTCATAGTTGGTGAACGGCGGAAGTCTTGGGGCACTGGTCACATAGGTGGAAAAGTACGAGTTGTACGCGGAAGTGATAAGTAGTCCAAGTACGCAGATCCCCAGGTAAATGCCCCGCACCAGTGCAGGTGCTCGCAGAACCTCGCAGAAAGGTTGGGACAGGACTCCCCTCAGGCAGCTATCGTGAAGGAAGAACTCACTGAAACAAACTCGATATCCGTGCAGATGGAGAGCAAGGGATAGGGTCAATGAAATCAGCACCATGGCAAGGAGAGTGATCCACAATGCCGATGGTCTGAACACCATGCTGTACAGCTGACTGTGAGCCACCTCCGCTGGCACCGGCATCATCAGGCACCAGCTCATCAATTCAATGGGGTACGAGTATCCGGTAAACGGTTTTAGGGCATAAATAGCAGCCAGGGCGAAGTGGACACTGCCATTTCGCACCGCTCCAAGTAGTTGACGGGCCGGGGGAATAGCTGACTCGTTGAATGGATACGGCTGCACCAGTCTGCAATTAAAACGCTTCTCAAAGCACTTGATGAGATTACCCACAGGTCCTGTAAAGGTCAGTTCCCCAGTCGAGTCGCGGTACACAATCAATCGGGGCGACGATCCACCCAAAACAAAAGGCACTCGATAGCCGCGGAGATTTTCCAAACGTGCTTCGAATATTTCCGTACTGTTGTCCCAAGGCCTCTCAATAAACTGCAAGATGGGAAATGGTGTGTAGCTGTAGACAATCGAAGACACCTGTAAGTATCAGACAAATCCCACAGGGCGTGTGATTAATGTTTCACAATCACAAAATTTATGTTTCCAACACGTTCAATCACAAATTATTTAGCAGTCATGTATATGCTTGTACTTTTCCACTTATTGATTTGTTCGATTGGGATTTCTACGGCAAGTCGCGAAGGTAAGTTGTCTCTTTACTCAAAGAAAACCCCAACTAAGAACATCTTTCTTTTAAGCAAAATGCTTATTTATGGCTAGTTCTGGTCCTTGTCATGGAAATTTTCAAATGTTCGCCTACGACTTCGACAACAATTGCTGCGTGAAATTTTTGTACGGTGGTTGCGGCGGAAACCCAAATCGTTTTCAAACAAAACAGGAGTGCATAGTCGCTTGTAATGCACTACCAGATCCCGAAGACGAGGATATTACCTCCACGAATAGCTATACATCTACGGAGGAGCAACCGGATGCTGAGTCAACAAAATTGATAGCGACTTCTTTAGAAGTGGTAGAAACAGTCTCTGCGAAAAATGAAGAAGTTATTTCTACATCAACCCCAAAAATAACACTGAAAGAAATGCCCGATGCCTTCACCCTCTTCAATTTTCATCAATTTAATTAAAGATATGATTAACTCTTACCTCAAAGTCCTGGTCAATAGCCACGACATTAAGAAGCTGATGGTGCCAACACCACTCCAGCAAAGAATTTATTCGCCTTGTCTTTAAAACCAAGAGCACTGGCATGGTATTTAATATGCGTAGATTCAAGTATAAGAGCTCCAGATTTTCTTTTGGGGTTTCGTTTACAAAAGCAATTGTGAGGGCGTTGTGAGATTGATTTTTACCAATATCAATGTCCTCTTCGGATGGCTTATCGATCTGGATAATGGGAACTGGAAGTTGCCACAAGAGCTCTGGCCAAACTGTATCAGAGTTCCCCAGCAAAAGGGCATACTCAAATTTAAGCTCTTTGCTCAGGTGATGGAGTAAGTTTATAAAGCAATCCCGGCCAGGACTTAAAATAATCCAGGTGGCTAACAGAAGGTAGAACTGACCCATGTTGAATGAGAAAAACATTTTCTAGTTCCAGCTTTTATGTCAGTCCCTCAATTTGCTCTATTGCGCCCCTGGGTATAAGGTATAGCGACAAACTTTTGATTTATATCAAACAACACGAGCGGTTTTTGTCGTGCGTTAAGTTAACTCAAATATTAGCTAGAGAACATATTAATGTATATTATAATGTCAGCTCCCTTAAAGTTACGTAATGTACTTTGTCAAATCAAACTATTTTTTTGTTCCTCGGAACTGTTCGCCAAGCGAACCCTCTTCGTGTTCCCTGCAGAATATCTAGCTATAGTTACTCTTAACTTAATTCTAGTAAATATTGGCTAATTCCATCTTACAGCTTCATTAATACCGCAATAAGGCAAACTGCAGTTTACCTTGTGGTCAATTTTTAAGGCCACAAAACCGGCAATCTTTACTTAAGCTTCTGCAGACCAACTAAGGACGCCCACACTGTCGTTTGGCTTTTTAAAGACCGCTTTAGTGCGTATCAAGTTTCATGGAGCCGTTACTTGCATATAATCAATTGGTTATTTGATATCAGCAATGAAATAAGTTACTGCAGTGGCGAATAATGAGTTTGGAGAACAAGTATGGTAGCCAAATGACTCGAAACTTCATGGAAGTCGATATAATATTATCAGCAGGTGCAGTTTTAAACGCAGCCATAACTGACTAATCAGCTATAAACTTAAATGGACAGAAATGCTGACGGAGGTATTTTAGAAATTTTATTAAATTATGCTGAATTTGCATTTGAACAGCTTTAAATGTCAATGGATATGGTATCGGAAATATTTTAGTAACATAATTAATTTAATGAGGATTGCAAAATTTACATTTAAGTGACAAAATTTAATTCATCCATTTTTGATTATAAACCTTTTAAGCCGCTGAGTAATTAAAATTTAAAGAAAAGCCCATAAGGTCTTAATTTTAATATATGAGAAACAATAGCGAGGCTAAATCGAGGCACAAATCTCATTCATATACTCCGCCTGACAGATGATCGCTCTTAATGATGCTGCCAACAACTGCATCCACTCCGCTCATTATATTTTTCAAGCAGTTATATGTTTTGGTGCACTTCACTGGATTTGGCTGATGCGTCAGCACTTGACCCGCACTCAGCCCCATCCTCCATCCTCTATCATACTCCATCCTCCATCCCATAAACTCCGATTCCCAGTTGTAGACTGTGTCCCATGCTGTTGTCCGCCAAATTGAGTTGACGTTGACGTAATGCCCCGCCACTTGAGTAAGTCTCACTCACTCGCTCTTTTTTTGGCGTTTGTCATTTCTGGTTGCTGCTTCTGCTTCTGCTTTTTTTGGTATTTTTTTGATGAAGTGCATCATCGTCTGGGGCTGGTCAATTAGCTGCACATACCGCGTATCTCGCACAAAAAGAGTGGCAGCGTGGAAAGCTCAACATGGCAGCGCTGGTTTCTTATTTTTTTGTCATCAGCCTGTATCTTCAGCTTTGTTTTACTTTTTTTCGGCTGGAGGTCACGTAGAGTCTTTAATTGGCTGGCCTGGGTTGCGTATGCGATGTCAATTTAGCGAGAAGAGCCCCAAAGTTCATAAGTGCCCTGGCGCATTCTTATATAGTAATCTTTTGCAATGCAGAAACGTCACTTAACCCACTTGTAGAACATGGCGAGTGGAGGTTGCCTACAAATATGTAATAATATTTTTGGATCAAAAGTAACATTTCAAATACAATGTTAATATAAATATAGTAAGGTCGCCATGTTCATATCACGTTGAAATTATTATTAATTTTACAAAATAGAGCTAGATATAAGAAAATTCTACATAAGTATTCAATAAAGATTTTAGGGCAGTATTATTGTAGTTGATTATATTGTAAAATGTCCGCATACAATGCTTATACCGGTTAAATTTCATTTTTATGACTTGCCATTCTTTTAATTGCTGTTGTTGAAAATACCATAGAGCCAAAAGAAAACTTTTTATGATTAGTGGCTATCGTTAAAGCGATAACTCATTTGCGTACTCAGGCGACGACCCACTTTCCGGCGCAGTTTGCCTGGAGTGTCCTTACTCCTGGTAATTGTTTCCGAGCCCCCCCACTTCCTAGCCAGCTCAGCCAGAGATCATGGCCCCGTTCCGTTCGGATAGAGGCAGAAACACTGCCCCAGGAAAGTAAAGTGAACTCATATTCGGGTATATGGCAGAAATGCACAACTGGAACCGTAATGCAAGTGATCGTACATC